AAAAAATTAATTATTGTTTTGACCAGTCTAGTGCATACGGGGGTACACCACCCGTGTTGGTGTAGTATAGCGATGTAATATATAGGTATATGGTATATATATGTCGTGAACAAGTACGTCTGCTACCCACGTGACCTCCTGACCTCCCGGACACTATTTATTTATTTCCATCTCAAATATCTCGCTAAAATGGTCCTTTATCCACAATTTTTAATACAGCATATTACAGAGGAAGACTTCATCTACAAAACGTATATGTTCAGTCTGCAGGGACATTTAATTTAGGTTTATTATAAACGAAAACAAATTGTTTTTCACTCTGCCCCATAGGAACACGTGCTAATAGTTACAACTTTGAGCTCGGATTTCTTAAAATTTTGACCCATTCGAAATATAATTTAGACCACCATTAAATTCAGTAGACTTTTATTTACAAGAAATAATATATCTCTGTTTGGGGACTTTCGTGAAGGAGCCCCCTTAAAGCAAGTAAAGTAGCAACCTAGCGTCTAATTTACTAGCATTTAAGCAATGTTCATCAATGTCAGACAAATTATTTAAAATTTTACCTGGAAATTGTCATTATTACAACAATTATGTTTACATCTAGTTTTTCAGAATACAATTATGATTGCTTAAATGCTAGTAAATTGTACGCCTACTTACAAAAACTCGATTTTCATCGTCAACATAAATATTGTAATTTTGAGGATTCAACGACTCAAAACGTTCATGCTGCAAAAAATTATTTGTCACCAGATAATCACCGCAATATCTTTACATGTAATTTTATTCTGAAAATTAAAATATACTACGTAAATATCATTTTTGTCTAATCATAGAGTTGAATATTTTATTCATAAGTTGTAAATGTTTACCATCTCGTTTGTGAAGGACGCCATCAATCTTTTCTAATTATCAGTTTATTGATAGTATCACCTACTGAATAACAATTCGCTGAACACTTATTAATTTCAATGAAAAGTACAAAGTAAACAGAAAGCTTTGCTTCATTAGAAAATTTTTGGATTGATTGTAATTATTTACGACAGTAATTTCAATTAACTCAATTCAAAATGATCAAGAGTAATCTGGAGTGACACCCATAGAATAACTTGATTATTAGTCGTTTAAAAGTCATATGTATTCAAATATTTTTTTAAATTAAACTATGTACCAAATCAATGACAATATATTTCATTAAAATTTTAATATATAAGTGTAGCAATGTTTAAAACAGTGATTAGATAGAGCGAATGGCATCCGTCATGGTTAGGAAAATAAATATTATGATATTGCCTTGCCTCTTCACTAAGCAGCGAGTCAATTTGTACTGATGGTGCATAGTTGTTATGCCAAAACATCCTGTATACTATCAACAGCAACAAAAATAGGTACTGCACTTTATAACGTTATCAGTAAGACATACAACACAACGTACGAAATAATACAATTAAAATTAGTGAATTGACCTTATGCTCACAAGACACCCGTGTGTTCAAGCCATGTTAAGTATAAGGGGCTAATCACGGTAGAGATGGACAATACCATCTGGGTTTCGAGAATCGACTGAGTCTTTGGACATATTCCAAATGACGCGACACTTGGGTCCTTGGGTGTCGCGCGACACATTAGTATTGGTTTTAAATAGGACTGCGTGACATAGTGACACTGTTGCCTCATTTAGAATGCTCTCTTTATTCGTCAGGAGCCCACTTAGTGTATTATCGGTCCAAAGGTATATGTGAAATATATATAGATACGGGTGATTCTGCTGTAACTTGCTTAACCATACTCACGTGCTGGAATGAAATCCAAAACGTTAGAAATGTCAAATTGTGTTAAATGTTGTCGACTTTACTTGACATATTATATTATACCAATATATCGATCCCTTCGTTGAGATAATTGATCATTTAGAGTCAAATTTTCCATTCCGACCCATGACCGCAACTCAATTTCACTCATGAAAGCTTTCACCAGTAAATTAAAAGGCGTACATACTACATGCCACTTGGGCGTTTCAGCATTATGTACTCTAGCTATTAGTAATAAGATTTGTATCTTAGTCTCACCAAAATCGACAGAGACGAGTGAGTTTTCACTGCATACATTTTGTCCGCATGTTTGCACCATAATCGCTGTTTTAACAAAAATCAGTTCAAACTAGTAACTTTTTGGATTGAAAATGCTAACCCATGGTCACTTTTTAAAGTATAGGACTAAAATGAATTAATCCTTACGACAGTAGTACCAGAAGTTCAGTGCCGGATTATAGGGTAGGCAAAGTAGGCACTGCCTATGGGCCCCCACCAATAAAAGGCCCCCACCAACCGCTACCAACGACAAAAGAAAAAAATTTTTTTAATTAAATAAATAAAATATATGACCATGAGTAAGCGACTCAACCCCAACAGTAACAACTAGTAGAAATCACAGGCGAGCGACGGAACCCCACCAATTAGTTAGAGAATCTTGAAGTACAAGCGAGTATTTTGTCCAAAGCTTTGTTCTGTGTGTACTTNTAAAAATTACCAAACGACACGTCTTGATCATTGTTAATGTAATTCACTATTACATTATTATGGTCGGTAAGCAACACTGTTTAATACATTAATCTGTCCCGAATTGCACGACCTTTTTTTTGATTGGTGTATCATTAATAACTTACTTCGCTACAAGTATTAATTCTTGGAAATACGTCTCGTCGAAAAATATGGATTGCCATTAAAGCTCATGCTGCAATTTCTCAATATTTTTCTACATGTATCCTAAAATTACTCGACAAAAAATAGTAAAAAAATTCATGCTGATTTCAGACAGTATAATTAATAAAATCTATGAATTTTTAGTTGTTGTTAAATAAATAAACATTTTTTTTCGCTCAACTTTATTACAGCACGCTCTCTCTGTAGTTTCTCCGGGCTTGAGACCGGCACATTTACTGTGGCCACATTACGTGAGCGGTAATTTATTTACATTCACGTTCGAAATTAAGAAAAAAATAAGTAAATAAAAATAAAGAAAACAAGGACTAGGCAACAAAATTAGGAAAATCATTTAACATAAGTTGTAGGCTTAATTGACGTCAAGGTAGCAACGTTAGAACCATTATTCTTTTCGTAAACATTTTAAAACTGGAATTGAAGTTAGTTAACAAAAAATAGTAGTGTAGATTATATGTATTGTACGCTGTAACGTATTCTGCAGATGCAAAACTTCAACGCATATACTTTGTTTTCAAGGCTGTGAACTACTGGTCTTGTTTACTTCTTGCGCGTATTCAGCGTGAATCCTTAGCTCGTGGACTCGCGCGCACTTGTTTTTNCTCTTCTGATTTTTTTACATGGTTTTTGTTAATGCATAACATAAATGTGACAAGATAATAATAATACTTTATATTGTCTGATTTATCTGATTGAAAGCGATAAGTATTTCAAACAAGATTGAACTTGTAGGTATCATAGTTAGATACATTTTTGGTTTTAAGATATATTTTCCGCAGGCATTTAAAGGAGTGGCATCACTACCTTACCGATCTTAGGTAACGTATCGATAGAATTAGATCTTCTTGTTGTAGTAAAGCATTGAAAAGTGATCCCTGCAGAAGTTTTCTCTAGTGCTTTCTCTCAGAGATTCTTTTTCTCACGTTGTACTTACCTACAGTTTTTATTTCTGTACAAGTTTCGTTTTTGTCCCTTGTCCGTACAAGTTACAAGTTCTATTACTAAAAAAACTATCAAAAGTATACAATTTCACGTACAAAAATTTAACAATCATGTAATTTGTTTTGTAAACAAAATAACCTCGAAATTATAATTGCCAATAATAAATTACTTTTAAACAGCACGTAATATTTAATTTTCTAAGACGTAAGTTTTTCATTAAAAGTTTTTTTCGTTTGATACATCATATCATATTTATTAATCAAGTGTTTCAAATTAAAATTCAGCCTAAACATAGAAGAATCATGTGTGATAGATCAATCGATCGTCATAAATCAAAGCGTATTTACAAATCTGGTCACGAAAAGTTGAATGAGAAACAAGAAAAACAAGACGATATCATATCACGAACACCCAAAATGACAAGTTTTTTTTTCCACTCAAGAAAGAAGCATAGAACTCGATGAAGTCCAAGTGGGTTCTTCAAGCACCAGTAAAGAGGTAAATAGAAGAAAAAAAAACAAATATATAGGGAATTTGTAACAAGGTGTCTTAACTTTTTTGAAAAAATCAATTTACTTCATGAAAACATCGGCCTAAGCTTAAGCCGTAGCTCAGTCTGATTTTTCGTTCTTGTAAAAGATGTGTTGGGGGACTGCTTTAGGGTGAACTAACAAGCATTTTTTGTATCGACTTCAAGAAAATCCAAGCAATTTGACTTAATTCCAGTTAAATCTAGTCGAGTCAGCCGATCATTATCTTTTTTTTTCACGGGTATTTTAAAGTTTATTCAACTGCTTGGAGTTGCGACTTAAAGAACGCGCGATAATGCGCGGCAGGAGCTGTTTCGAGCTGTTCGGGTTCGGCTCAAAACGGTCTCCGAATAACCTAATGATTGTGTTGTTTCATTGTCAACTCGTCCAGCTTAATTCATTATAATTCAATAACGATTTTTTTTTTATTTATTACAAAACTTGATGAACTTTTACCAAGTGACTCAACTTATTTAACCTATCACCCCTATACAGCACAATAGCACATATTTTTAATACCTTACTCGAAAATATTAAAAGTTGTAACGTTTGTCATTTAACCTGACAATATTATCCTTAGTACAAAATTCACATCCAATTTTTAATTTTTTGGGCTCATTGTCTTCCTTTAATGAATTCATTAGGAGTCACCAGGGGAAGTTTTTGCAACATTTTCCTTGGTGACTCCCCATGAATTTATTAAAGGAAGATGAGGCCAAAAAATTGAAAATTAAATGTGAATTAAAAAAGTTTTAGATAATTTGTTGAATTTTTCCTGAAGTTTATCAGAAAAATTGAACAATAAAATCTTATCCACAAAATCGCATAATTTTCAGTACCAATCATATTATTGTCAGGTGAAATTAAGGTTTTTATAATTTTTAATACAAATTTAATTTTCTAATAAAATATTAAAAATATGTACGTATAATAAAATGTAGATACAAATATATAGGAATGATAGACTGCCTTAAAAAATGTCACGCTGACACGCTTGATCTTTTCAGACTTTTATTCATCGATCGTTTTCCTGAAACTGTTATATTCTAGTTTTGCCATGAATTTCCGAAAAAAATGAAATATTTAAACAATACCCTCTAGTAGTCTTTCAATTTAATTATTGATTATAATTACTTTATAAATATACTTTTAAGGTCCAACTAGAAGTGATAGAAAACGATCGAACAGAGAAAGAACAAGAGGAAACAAATCTGTTTGATAGTGAGAACAATGAGTTCAGTGAAAATAAGAGAGAAAGAAACAGTCGTCAACAACCATCGAAAGTTACACCAAATAGCTTTGAAGTGCTTCAAAATTATGAGAATATAGTTAAAGCCAACCGCGACGCTACAATCGATTTATCAAAGTTTGATTTAGATATCTCTGAGTGGCATGAACACAATATAAGTGAATTGATTGATTATTGGATAAAAAAAGGAAGCTCCGAAATTCAATACAACAACTCAGACTTATTAAATCGTAAGTCATTTA